GGCCCTCATTCAGCCAGGAGGAGGCAGGAGAAGAGGGAGGGTAAGTTGCTTCCTCCCCGCCTCTCCCCACCCCTGCCTGCCTGGGGCCAGGGAGGGCCTTGGCGGGGCTTCCTTGCACTCCCGCCGACCTTGCAGGTCCACTGCCGGTCCCCTGATGTCAGGGTGTGTGGTATATGCTAATGAGTTATGCTAATGAGTTCCCCTAGCTCTTTTTCTACGAAACGGCCCCTGCTTGTAGAAGATGAAAATCCATACAGGTGTTTAGCAAGACTGTAAGACCTATTTTGCTCCTGTTGGGTGGGATAAAGTGAGTAAGAAACATTTTCTGAAAGGACTGACCATAATTATTTATATCACTTTAAAATTATTGAATCCCCAGCTATTGAGAATTGCTGTTAAGCACATAAGATAGCTGAGTGGCACGTTTCATCACAGCAAAGCCAGAAACACCACACAACCGTGCCCAGTTGCACTCAGCAGTCCAAGTCCCAAAATGATGCTCTGTGGGAAGAGGAACTACTCCTCACAAACCTTTGGGGCCCGGTGGCCCAGGAGGTCCAGGTGGTCCTTGGAAGGCAACTCCAGCACCTGCCAACAGAGAACACAAGGAAAATGAACGATGAGGGAAAATAAAGCTTTTCCATACATGATTGTATCAATGTATATCTAAGACATTTTATGTAAGGTTTTTTAAAATATAAAATGTGTATATAACAAGCACATTTGAAAACAAATGCATCATACAGGTATCAGGGAGCTGGGGAGGGCTGGTTCTCCCTCCCCAATGGACATCTGGTGGAACTCCTGGATTTGCCAACATACAATGTAAGTAGAGGAAGTAAAGCCAACAAGTAAATGTGTGTAGACTCACCGTGTGCAGAGACTCCTGGAAGACCAGGCTGCCCTGGTTCACCTGTGAGGAAGACAACAAGTTAAGCCACCAGCTGATTCCCACAGCGAACCCTTCTCCTTCAGAAAGGGGAAAAAATGGTCATGGGTACCTGTGAATCCTCGTGGGCCTGGCAACCCTGCAAACAAGGAGATCTGTTAAATCACTAGTGGTTGTAGGGATGGTCCTAGTAGGATACGCAACAACAGTACCAGCAGATATGCTAAATCAATAGTCATGGCCAACCTTTTTTCACAGAGGAACTAGATAAATACTGGATAAATAAATATTAACACATTTAGCAGTCAGTGCAAAATCCACTGTGCTCAAAAAGTATTTTACATCAGCACTGCATAAGCACAGCCAGAGCTTGGCCAGTCAATTCAATTCTCTTGTTTGGCCAATTATAGCCCCTGCTTTCTCGGCAGCAAGAAAGCTTCCTTCCCAGCAGAACAGTGAATAAACTCCCTGGCATTCTGCAGGCTATGTCAAGCCAACACAGCAATGATCAAGAAACACAATTCAATTAGCCACATATAGAAAAGGTTGCAATGGGCTACAAAAAAGGGACATATATATGTAAAATCATCCATTCTGGCCATCATTTCTTGGAGATCAGATTGCTACCGAATCAGGTTAAAGAAAGCATCTGGTTCTCCTTCTGCATCATTAGTCAGAACAAAAAATCTGCCAACTGCATCTCTTTCATGCCTCTTGCACAAAAAGGGAGTGTATCTTTTTTTTTTAATGATGTTTCTGATTCCAAAATAATTATTTGTTATACTGTTCTTTGGCCATGGGATTACAACTGCCTTGCCTCCCAGGTTCCTCATCAGTTTCTTCGCTTCAGATGCTCCCAGACAATTAATTGGGCCACAGCCGCAGGGATTGCAAGGAGCTCACCTTGTTCTCCATTTGGCCCTGGAGGGCCTGGTGGACCTGGTGGGCCAGCAAAGAAATTTCCTGTATTGAAAAAGAGAGAGCATCAGAGAAAGTTATACTTGCAGGGGTAACACCCTGGCTTCTTATTAACACATTTAGCTTTGGTTGAAGTAATCATTTCAGCCAGGGGTCATTTGGGGGGGGACGCCATCCCCCCGGGTGAGGTGTGGGAGGGCGGAACCTGAGCTCCCTGCTGGTGCCCGCTGGAGGTCGCCGCCGGCTGTGGGGAGGACACACTTCTGGTGATGTCAGGGGGGGTGGCATATGCTAATGAGTTATGCTAATAAGTCCCCCTAGCCAATGTTCCCTCTAAGCTGTAGAATCTTGTGAGCAAAAATTCTACTTTGTGAGCTACTGGCGTTAAAGTTGTGAGCAACTGACCTAGCTGCTGCATAAATTAGTTTGCTCCGGAGTCCTCGTTCCTGAGCTAAGACAAAAATGTGTGAGCCAGAGGCTAAGAAATTGTGAGCTAGCTCACACTAACTCAGCTTAGAGGGAACAGTGCCCCTAGCTCTTTTTCTATGAAATGACCCCTGATTTCAGCTATTTGATCATTATCTGCTCACATTCTCAACTACCAATGCAAAATGGGAACGCAAACCTAGCAAGCTAAACAAAGCACCTACCATTTGTGGGCACAAAGGATCCTGGAGGTCCTCGAGGTCCTGGTAAACCTTCTCCTAAGGAAAAGAAACATTAACATATTAGAAGGAAGGACTGGTAATATATACCATGCACACCAAATTCCTTTTCAGGAACTGTGATATATGGAGGAGTCTGTCTCTTCTAAGTCAAGCCCTGCTCTACCTCTGTACTTGCCAAAAGTAGGAAATGTTAGCCTTTAGCCTTCAGAGGCTGGGTGGTGGTGGGTGAAAGGTGTCAAGTGGGTAGGATACCCTGTGAATTTATATTGCCACACAGCATCACTATTTCACCCTCTGGAAGAGATTCACTCTGTTTAGGCCATCATTCTTGCACTATGAGATGACTGTTCCTTTCCTTTTGCGGTTCCAGGTGGTATTCGGGATGGAGTAGCTTGGCCAGCCTTACACCGCCTTGTTCAAATGACCACTCAGACGCAGTTTCTTCGGAAATTAGGTGGATAAAATTGGCCACAACTTTATTGATTACAGCTGTTATAGGCATTGGCACAGCATGGGTCCACCGGATCCGACCCGTCGGCTGACCCTTCTGCCAGCCGAGGTATCTGTTACCCAGCCAGCCGGCATGGGTAGAGACTGCAGGATGGCAGGTTGCTGGGGTTCACCTGGACGCCTGCCCCCAACTTGGCTGGACTGGGGTGGGGACGGCGAGTGTCCTGGGTCACATATACCCCAGGCCTCTCCCTCCGGACACCCAGCTGCTCAGTGATTGGCCCAGGTAGGGAGGGGAGGTGCCTACCTTCCCGCCACTTGCCTGGCCCCACTCACCCCTGACCCAGCGGCTGGCCAGCTTCCTCCATCCCCCGCCCGGCCCCGCAAATGGCGGGCCTCGCCTACCCAGGCCCTTTCTGCTTCACATTCAGTAGAGAAAAGGACATTGTTATTGTGAGTGACTCAGCATGCTTGGACATTGGGGGGTGCTACATCACTGCGTGTACAGGTGTTATCTCTTTGAATGGGATGCCTCTCTTTGTCGTAACTTGGGAGCTGCCCTCTGACCCCCTCCTCTCCTTCACATTGTCCTATCTCACTTCTCGTGGCCTTCCATGGAGACACATGTTTCTGCAGGTCTCTCCTGTAGACACAATGCCCTTCCCACACACACGATGCTGGACAAGCTGGCCATTTGTGATAGGGAAAATACTCTTGAGATTAGACCTCTTTCACTTCTTTCGACTGCAACCTGAATGTGAATGGGGCAGGGCAGGGTTTGGGGAAGGGAGGAACATCTGAGGGGCATACCCTGCAAGGCAGTCATTTTCTCCAGGGGAACTGGAGATCAGTTCTAATCCTGGGAGATTTCTAGCCACCACCTGGAGACTGGCCACCCTATGAAGATCTGTCAATGGCTACCAGCCATGGTGAATGATAGGAGCCTCCATATCCAGAGGTGGTAAGGGAGGGAGGGCCTCTGCCTCTATGCCCTGTTTGCCTTCCAGGGCAACTGGCAGGCTGCTGTATGAAACAGGATGCTGGATTCTATGGATTACTGGTCTGATCCAGCAGGCGCTTTCTGTGTTATTAGGTTGATTGCAGTCCTGCTGAATCTATACCTCAATTCTTTTGAGGTTACATCTGTGCATTAGGCAGCAGGAGCTCTGTGTCCCACATGTTTTTAGAGTGTTGGCAGCTATCACATCAGGCTCCCATTTTAGATCAGAGCCATCACATGGAGCAAGTGGGTTAACTGTCTTCTTGATACAAAACCCCCGCCCCGCCCCCCACCCTGGAGCTGCTATTTACATGGCTTAGGAAAACACACAGGGTCATATTTCTCTAAAACAATAGAGCAGCTTGGGCAGCTCCCCCAAGAAGTGAGTTCTGAAATGGCTGAAAAGCTTTACCTGGTGGACCAGGGGGTCCTGGGGGTCCCTGAATAGAAGCTCCTGAAAATGGAAAGAAAGGTATTACCTGGTTGAGTAGACCCCAGTTCTTCTCGCCAAAAAGGTTTCTGCCCCACCCAGTCATACTCACTTGGCCTGATGATACACAGCCAATGCATTTGTATCGTTTTTAAAGAATTCTATTTGTATCGATCACATTCCTAAATGACTATTAAATACATACTATGTTTTGTTTCTTTTGATTTGGAATGTACTTCTTGGGAAGCCAAGTAACAATTCATCTCCTGCAATGTTTATTTTTTTTCATTCACTTCTACAAGGATCATTAGTATGTTCTAGCAGCTCAGCTCTTGCAGAGCTGAATCCCCTCCCCAATCAGTATGATATTAAGAAATTCAATGAAGAAATGGATAATTCGCTTCACTTAATATTAAAACTGACCTCCAAAGAGTTACAAAATCCTAGATAAAACTGAAAAGCAGTGAAGAGGTAGACTAGCCAGAACACTATTGGTTTTCTGCCAAAAACTTCAAGCAAGCAGGTGTTTATCTCTGAAGTCCAACATAAGCAGTCAGAAATATTTAATTTTATTTTAAAACATTTATATGCTGCCTTTCCTTAACAGCCCAATGCATCTTATTTCCTAATTTTACAAGGCAAAGTGCATGAAGACTTAAAGCAATCTCCAAACCTATTATTCCCATATAGCTCTGCCCCCACCTAATACTTTTGATTTATATGTATTTTTGGTGTTAGGTTCTACCTGGTGGGCCTGGGGGTCCAGGTGGTCCGGGTCGTCCTGTCATTTCTGGCAAAGGTAGACAAAGAGTGGAAATGGAAATACTGTTTTAAATTTACAGACAATAATTGGAGCAAGGGGTGATTTTTAATAAACTCATGGGCTTAGAGGAGCCCAGATAACAACTCTTAAATGCTTAAATAATTTCCTGTATTTATAAATCAAAGAAAAAAGCAACAAGAAAGTACACTTTTATTCTTTATATATACACCCTATCAACATTCACAAGCAGTGCAGTCTGTAGTTCTGTTGCATCACTTGTGAAAACACCTGGAGAAATCCTTCTGACCGTCCACCCTACCTTGAGCAGCAAAAGCAGCAGTTTCAGGTCTCACTTCTACAGCAGTAGTTTCACCTGGGGGTCCTCTCTCACCACGAGGGCCTGTTTGGAAGACAAGATTGCCAGACCATTTAACTGTCAGGGTCATAAATTCAACATTCTGGAGAAACTCAGCTTCTGGAATTAGTGGACACTATAGATGTTGGTTTCCATGTAATACCAGTGCCGGTCATGGCACCAAAGTTCTGGAACACTCTCCCCAGGGAGAGTCCACCGCTGCCTTGGTGGCCCTGATGAGGGCAGAAATTACAGAAATAAATTCTGTAATTAAAATAAGATAAAACAAGTCCAAGAATTATTTCTTATCACAATGAAGATAAACCTAAACTAGATTGGATTTGAACAGGTCCCCAGTCCATATCTCTCATGCTGCAATGATGCCCTTCTCTTAAGGAATGTGACAAGGCAAAACATTTCTGAAATCCTTAATACCAGAGCGGGTGGATGCAGAAACACTGCAAACATAAACTGGGTCCAGATGAACAAGCCTGCCACTAAAAGCAGATCATCCATGGCTGCTTGAAATGTTATGAATCTCTTACATATAACATTATTTCTTCGAGGAAATAATTTGATATCCACATGTAGATGTGGCAGTCAAACATATATGTAAACATCTATCACTGCATGAACACATGCATATATGATCACTATGCACCACATGCACACCCATAATGCGAGTATCAGTATGTATATTTTAGGGTCTTCCACAGAGATAACAGCTTCCCATACTAAACAATAACCAAATCAAAGGCTGGAAACAATACCATGGAAGAAGAAGAAAGTAAGACAGTGGCTGGGATTTTTTGCAACAGACACAGCCCCTCTACAATCTATCCGCTGGCCTATACCACCTGCGTTAACACTGTCAGCCCTCTAGTCTAGCATCTGGACTAGAAAGATTCTCCATCAGGATTGACACAGTACGCAACGTGGCTTCCAGGTTCCTGGTGTGCACCCTTTATAAATGCCACTATTTAACACCCAACATGTGCCAGCTGCTGAACAGAAGCAACTTGGTCCCAGCTAAGAGAATTCACAGTGTAAAGGGAGATAACACGTTTGGCTAAAGGAATTACAAGGGTCAGTAGAAGCAGTGGAGGAAAAGTGAATGCAGGCCAGTGCAGGAGAGGCTCCACAAAAAACAAGAGTTTTACAAAGAATGGGTTTCCTATGGAGGCCAGAAGCTTCTCTGGGCCAAAACAGCAGCAAGGCAGAACCCACCAATGGGGGAACCAAAGGGGCTGAAACTTGACTGGCTAATACAGAGCCAAGAGAAAAAGAAAGGATGGAGGGAGATGGTAGGAAATGGGAGGTGGGGGTGAAAAAATGAAGCAGAAGGTTAAGATTGAGTGTATTACCTTGAGCTCCAGGAAGACCAGCTGGGCCTACAGGACCTGGATTTGAACGATAAAGCAATAAATAATTGGATCAACTTTCTTACAGGTCTCAAGGAGAAAAGATGAACATACCAAATAATATGCCTGTCCGCAAGGTTGGATGACATTTCAGTACATTTCAATAGCCATTGACGTGATGCTACACAGCCCTCAGGATGGACGGTTTGCAAGTGAAGAATCTGCGTTTTCTCCCTATTTTCCCCTATTTTCTTTGTCCTTATTTTTGCTTGACCAGACTGTTCCTGAGCCTCCATTTTGACAGAGTAGCGCCCCCCCCTTTAGTATACTAATAGTCCCACAACCTCTTTTAATGAGAAGAGAATCCTGGAAGAATCTAAATGAAAAAACATGCTGGTAGATGCAGGTAGTTCAGGAACAATTGCATCTCTGCTAGGTATAGGGATAAAAGGGTAAAGTGTGCATTTAATTCTTCTCCAGAAAGGGCTTCTTTTGTCCACATTGCTGTACTAGTTGCAGCCCGCATGACACTGTACACGCATGGAAGCCATTCCATATGAAAACTGAATGTCTGTAGCAATAATACACAGGCAAGAAATATGACCAGATTAGGCTGCTTTATACTGAAGCAGTTTATTGATGCATTTATCCTTTATTGTCTGTGGGTCTCTAAGGTCCTACCAAAGTCTTTTCCAGCTGTGCCACCAAAATCTTTTTAGATGACACTACTGGAATATTCTGCGTGAAAATATGTGCTTTATAACTGAGCATGTAGAACATGCACTTTGCCAGTTTTGGCTCTTTTCCAAAATTTGTTCCATAGCAGAAGGGAAAGTATACTTTGAACTCAAGGTCCCAATAATGCATGCTGAAGGCAATTACTACAGTTTAAAAACTGCATAATTATACATTAGGGATAAAACAAGTCAGTGACACATAATATAATGGGTTCCTACCTGGAACACCAGGTAGGCCTGGAGGTCCAACACTCCCTGGCGGGCCTGGAGGGCCTGTGAGAGCAATAGTTGATGCTCCATCTGAAAACATAAACCATGAGAAATTAAACCAGAGAAGCTGAAATCATTTTATCAGGCAATGGGAAGACCATCAGTTATGAGAATTCTACATTGATACATACCTGTACTAGTAATCCGGCCTGGAGCTCCAGGTTCACCTGTGCAAACAGGTAAATAAAGGGGGAAAAATGGATGTTATCAGAGTCTCAGTTAACAGACAGGTCAACTGTGGCCAGTGTCTATCATTTCATTGAATATCTGTACCAATTTCTTTGCTATAATGACTGTTATGATAGCATGATTGGAAATGGCTACTTTGAGAGAGTTCTGACCTATGTATACAACTGGTGTTAACAGAGGTTTGTAGTGATATTATCAGAAATCAATGTAATATCTATCTATGACAGCGATGCTGATTCTGTGAGGCAGATCATGAGAGGGAGGGCAGAAAGGGTTACATCAGTGCTTAATTCTTGTGGTCATTTCTTACACACCCAGGGAAATGCTGATTTCCACTTTGGGGTCAGGAAGCAATTTTTCTCCAGGCCAGTTTGACCATGGATCCTGGAGGGTTTTGTCATCTTCTGGGCATGGAGCAGGGGTCACTGGGGGTGTAGGGGGGGACATAGTTGTGAATTTCCTGCATTGTGCAGGGGGTTGGACTAGATGATGCTGGAGGTCTCTTCCAACTCTATGATTCTGTCTGTCTGTCTGTCTGTCTAGCTATCATCTATCTATCATCAGGGGTCATTTCGTAGAAAAAGAGGTGCAGGAGCTCATTAGCATAACTTATTAGCATAACATGTGCATATGCCACACCGCCTAACATCACCGGAAGTGTGTCAGAAGGCAACACCCACCATTCAGGCTCCACTGGACTGTTTTGGATTGCTAGCTATTGGGGGGGGGGGGGAGCCGCAGAGGAGGGAGAGCTTGTACCTGAATAAAACTTGGTCTTAAAGGTGCCACTGGACTGTTTTGGTTTGCTAGCTATGGGGGGGGACGTGCAGATCTGCCCTCACAGAGGAGGGAGAGCTTGTACCTGAAGGTGGGTGGGTGGGGGACTCTGCAACTTACCTGGCTGCTTCTTGCTCCTCGTGGCCCAACTGAGGGTTGCTGGGAGCAGGGGGCGGGGCTTGTTGTCTGTGCCCACCCACTGGGCTCCTTACTGCCGGAGCTCTGCTCCTGTGCGCTCCCGCAGGAAATGACCCCTGTCTATCATCTGTCTATCTATCTGTCTATCATCTCTCTCTCTCTTCCCTGGGTTCAATACTGTTGGTAAGTGGGTTCTGCAATAGTCTGGTGGAGGAGAAACAGGAATCACATAACAATGCGAATAGCAGGAGCCCCCCTTCCACCTAAGTATCGCATTAGCTAGTTTGCATGCTCTCTTCCACTTTTTTGTTGGTTATAAATCATGCAGATAGAACATAATTTATTTATATATTTTGTATATGATCCAGGACCACATCTACAAGCAAAACAAAACAATCACACATTGGTAATCCTATAAGCATTATTTACACACCTTTAGTCCCTGGTCGGCCTGGATTGCCTGGGTTCCCTAGAAAAAGTAAAAATGGCAGTTTGGAATTAATAATGCTGTAGATCACAGTAAGCTATCTGCATTATAGTTTTATAGATCTGGATGGCAGATGGTCATGCATTCCACCATCCTTTACCTGGAAAGTACCAACAACCTCCATTTGATAAGGAGATCCTATTTCTTTAACAACCTCTTTCTGCTTATAACTGCTAGTCCCATCTCACCTCTCATAGCAAGTGTGCAATCTATATCCAAATAGAAAGAATCTGGATGGATTTTAATACATTATTTGGAAGATGTAACTGTATGGAGAGGCAGTTACTTGCATTCATCAACATTCCCAGAATTTCTAGGTTTCTACTTGATTGAATTTTTATAGTCGGGGGCTAAAGGTGAATTCCTCTTCATGCAGTATTAATCTTTTCCCATCCTATACACAATTTGGAGCAAATCCATTGAACTCAACAGGACATTCTCCTGGATGGGCTGTGCTATAAGGCTCCTTTCCTCCTGTGGCAAAATCACCATCACTCACATATAAAGTCCCTTATATTTCATTTCTGTTGGGCTGAAGACTGGATGAGAGAATTTGCCATCTAATGATAAAGAATCAAGACTCATCTTTGAGCCTCCAAATTCGACAGCACTTTTCATCAGTGAACCAAGTATGTGTGTTTTGCATAAAGTTACATTTGCTGCAAATAGGCTATTTATTTATTATTATTATTTTGAAATTTTCTATGCTGCTGCTTAAGAGACTTGCTTGAGGCAGCTCACAATTAAAAACAATATAAAAATAAGCCATTAAAAAACAAGCCATGATACATATAACCTGCATAAGTCCATAAAACAGAGAACCATTAAAAAGTTGATCAGATAAAACACATAATTTAAAGCCTGGGGGAAAAAAATATGTATTTTAGCCTGGCATTTAAAAGAAAGTAAAGTAGGTGCAAGGTGAGCTTCAAGGGGGGAGGCAATCAAAGGGCAAGGTGCCCCCACAGAAAATGCCCTGTTTCTAGACCTCACTTGCCTCGCCTCTGAAGGGAGGGGCACAGAAAGCAGAGCTTGAGAGGCAGATCTTAAATGGCACAGATCTTAAATGGCGGGCTGGTAGTATAGGAGGAGACAATCCTTCAGGTATCCTGGCCCCAAGCCATTTAGGCCTTTTAAATGTAAAAAGTAGCACTTTGAATTGTGCCCAGAAACAGATGGGTATCCAGTGCTGATCTTTCAGTACAAAGATGATACAGTCCCTGTAACCAACCTCTGACAGTACCCTGGCGGCCACAATCTAACCTGGATGTCATCAGAGCACAGATCACTGCGGCCAGATCATGCTTTTCAAGGAAAGGACATAGAGAGCAAGCTGGAGCTGATAAAAGGCACTACCTGCCAAGAAAGGGAACTTGTGCCTCCAACTGTAGGATAGGATCTAGTAGCACCCACAAGCTATGAATCTGAACATTCAAGAAGACTGCAACCCCCTCCAGGACAGGCTGGCTCTGCAATCACTGAGCAGTTTCTCCACTGACCAACAGTGCCTCAGTCTTTTCCAGACTGAGCTTCAGTTTATCGGCCCTCATCCATCCCCATTACCTTCTCCAGGTAACAATTCAGGACTTCCACAAACCCACCTGGCTTTGCTATTAAGAAGAAATAGAGCTGGGTGTCATCCACATATTGTTGTCCCCGGATGACTTCTCCCAGCGGTTTCATGTAGATTTTCAATAGTATTGGAGATAAGATGAAACCCTGTAGGGCCCCACAGCATAAATGCCATGGGGCTAAGCAGCAGTCCCCCAGTATGGCTATCTGGAATCAGTTGGTCAAGTAACAGCAAAACGACCAAGGCACACTGCCTCCTACTGCCAGCCCAGCCAGCCTCTCCAGAAGGTCAATAGTATCAAAAGATGCTGAGAGGTTCAGGAGAATCAAAAGGGATTCACTTCCCTTGTCACTCTCCCAGCGGAGGAGGAGGAGGAAGAGGAGGAGGAGGTGGGGGAGAAGAAGAGTTGGACTTATACCCCGCCCTTCACTTGGAGTCTCGGAGCGGCTTACAATCTCCTTTCCTTCCTCTCCCCAAATAGACACCCTGTAAGGTAGGTGAGGCTGAGAGAGCTCTGAGAGAACAGCTCTGAAAGCATTGTGACTAACCCAAGGTCACCCAGCAGGCTTCATGTGGAGGAATGGGGAACCCAACCCTGTTCTCCAGATTAGAGTCTGCCACTCTTAACCACTACACCAAACTGGCTCTCCAAAGGTCATAAATCAGGGCATCCAAGGCTGTTTCCATCCTAAAACCAGGATTCATTCCAGATTGAAATAGGTCTAGATAGTCTGTCTCCTCAAAGACTGCCTGAAGCTGTGCAGACACCACCCACTTAAGCACCTTACTCAAGAATGGAATATTAGTTCTGAGGCTGTCGTGGCTTATTTCTTTTGGGACCAGGGATGCCTCTTTCAAAGTGATCACAATTAAATCCTCACACACAGAGGTATTTATTACCTCCTGACCCCAGTCAACCAACCCAGCCCAGCATGATAATGTTAGCCATGAGGAGCAAAGGTCAAGACTAGATGTGGTAGGTTGCCCAGGGGTCATTTCATAGAAAAAGAGCTAGGGGAACTCATTAGCATAACTCATTAGCATATGCCACACCCCCTGACATCAGGGGCCCGGCGGTGGATCTGCAAGGCCAGCGGGAGTGCGAGGAAGCCCCGCCAAGGCCCTCCCTGGCCCCAGGCAGGCAGGGGTGGGGAGAGGCGGGGAGGAAGCAACTTACCCTCCCTCTTCTCCTGCCTCCTCCTGGCTGAATGAGGGCTGGAAGCGGGGCAGCCGGAAGCAGGGGGCGGGGCTTAGTCATGCGCCCCGCCCCCCTGCACCTCACCCGGGGGAACTGCGTTCCCCCACGTTCCCCCCCGAAATGACCTCTGTAGGTTGCACATCTCAAAGCACCTTGTTCGTTTCATCAGGCTTCACCAACTGAAAGTCATGAATACATCTAAGACCAAACTGCACTCAAACAACATCCTGAGACTGAACCAGTCCAATTATGTCGTCGAAGTAATGGTGGACTGTAATGTATTCAGAAGCTGCCATGAAGGCATTAAGATGTCTGTGAAACATCTCATAAGGAAGCAATGTTAAGCTTCGTCTTGAACAAGGATTGTAGTCCAAGACAAATGTGTCCAATCACCTTAAAGCAGACTGTAAGCGGGAATGAAGGTGATTGGTCCTTATACGCTCAACCGTATTGGTTGTTATCTGTATAGTAGGTGTGGCTACATTAGCCGGGAAATGTTTAAATACCGAACAGCTACTATGGAGAAGCTGTTCGGGCTATCAGATGTTGTACCGTGTTGGAGAAGTGTTCGTGTTGAAGATTAAACTTGAGTTTTTGCTGAAATCACTCTCTGACTATTTGTTAAGCGCTGGACTTAACAGTGGACATGAGCAATTTTATCTGCAAAATGCATTGCAAGGGTTATCACAGCAGGCTTGCATGTTTTCCAGGTCAACAACCCAGAAAGGCTGTACTGGGTGTCACTATGCAGGAAAAAGTGGCACAAAAATGAGCAGTGCCATCACTACCACAGAGTAGGCACAATAACGTGCTCTCTCACTTGCGTTCAGTCGCATTTGTTTTGAATTTTTCTCCACTTGCACTCAAACCATTTCATCATCAAAAGTTCCTCAGTAAACCTTTCTCCATGGAAGGAGACAGAGTGCTCAGGGCAATTGTGTCCACAGCCCAGGTCATGTCCATATTCCGCATATCAGCCAGGCCTGCAACAGCAAGCTGGCTGACTGAAAAATCCCCAGGAGACATCAGGAAACTTTCTGGGTCCATCAACCTCCTGGAGTGGACCAACCTTAACAACCATGTGATGCCTATGATTTTGGAAAGTATATTCATACATGTAGCTTGATCCTAGGTGGTTAGCCTGCTACCCAATCCCTATTGAAGTGTGAACTAGCCGTTGCACTTGACTTAAATTCTAGCAATCTGCATCCTCTTATGAGACACAAAATGAGACACACTCATTCTGCCTCACTTAATATTTTAAGCATCTGCCCATTAACTATTAAGCAAATGTATCTTTCACGCATAGTGCCTTACCTGGTGATCCTTGAGGTCCTGTGAGACCTAGGAAAACAATCACACATGTTAGGAATTTTCTTCCAAGAGGAGGGACAAACAGGTAAATATACAAATAACTCAATGGAGGTAAGTAAGCAGTGGGGTTTGTACTGGGGCCGATGAAGCAAATACTCAGGTAAAAATGTGACCTGAAGTAGCCATATGTCAATCCATCACTTTCCCGGGTTACATTTCAAATATGAAATGAACTGATCTCCTCCCAGTTCACTGAGGATTATGAATACCTTCCTAAACCTTACATGTAAAGCTCTATACCCCATCCGCTCCCAACACATCTCTTTTCTCATCTTCCCTTTTCCTCCCCATACTTTCCATTATACAAAAAGCACGTCTGCTACACTTTCTTCCCTTCTATCCTCTTTTGGCCCCCTAGCCTTCTGGTGCTCCTTCTCTCTGAAGGAGTCAATTGATACTTCTGTTTGCTATCTGTACACTGGCATTTTGCCACATAAGCAGAGGAAGCATAAAGGGGAGAATATATGCCATGCTTGCAAATGCATTTTCCATAGTTCAAAGCTCCACAATGTATACCCCAGTAGGGCTGCTCACAGGCATTCAGGGACCCTGGCAGGATCCTATTTCTCCAATGTTTTCATCGTCCACTGTGCTAAGATCTACATGGCCCCAACCTCCTTTGTGTGAGCCAAGCTTCATCCTCTCCATGCCCTTCTTCTCTCTAACAAACCTGCCTCTCTGCTCTTCTCCCTACACTGGTAAGTCTCATGTGCCTGCAGGGGCAGTACAAAGGTCCAGTGTTTCACCTGCCTAGTCACTATGTTGACCCCCCAACCTCAGCCTAAAGGCAACAACAAAGTTCTTTTTGCTTCATCTTGGATTACCTGGCTGCCCTGCATCTCCAGGAGGTCCAGCTGGACCTCGTGGTCCTGCCATTCCCATAAGACCTTGCTCTCCTAGAAAACAGTCAAGATGAAGAATTAGTTTGCATAGTAAAACACCCACTGTAGTTATGGAAATGGTTGCTATTAAGTGAGCAGCATTCTTAGGCCAAGAAGTTTAAATGTTTCCATCAAAACACTATGATATATCCATTACCCATCAATCCATTTCCTGAAATTCCTTGTTATGTCATCCAAAATAATTTTGAGAGTTGTCAACAGAAATCTTAGTTCAAAATGCTCACATTTGTCATTTATGGGAGCTATGCAATGACTGAAAGTAACACTGAAAATATTCAAATACATAAATGAGTCTATGATCCTACGCAACGTTGCATAGTGATATTAGTGATATCACTGGAACCCTTGAACCTATGCCACATTGGATAGAGATGAAAGTGGCATTTACAGACAGTGTGACCCTGCCAGCCTTCTGCTGCGCAAGAGGGGCAATATTGTTCAGTTTATCTATGCACTGCATCCCCCCCCCAATCCTGCATGGCTTTTTGTCCATGCACGTCTTCCCATCCCTGGCATTATTTTGGGGGGAAGCAGATGCAGGGATGAGGAAAGGAGAGATCCACTTCCACTGATAGAAAGTTGCTAGGATCCAACCCCATGTAAAGAAGTATTTGTTATATTCTCATTATTCTCATTATGCCATGTTCAGATCCATCTGGTGGTATGTTTCTCAGGGATTTGTCTGTCATGAGAAGAAACAGCAAATCAATAATACTAATAACCTACCTCTGGGGCCTTGGTGTCCATCTGGCCCAGGTGGACCTACGGAAACATAGAAGTTCATTTGCTGTTATTGGAATTGTTCCATAGTATTCCAGTTCTTTGCTTCATGCAAAGCTACACATAAGAACATGCTTTAAAAATTATACACAGATATGATCAGGGCTCAGGTGCTTTTGGCTGAAGCTTAAATAAAAGGACCACATTTATTTTATTTTTTTATGAGGCAGGGAAAGGAGAGAGGTGGGTAGGAGACAGGGTTGCCAACTCTAGTTTAGGAAATTTCTAGAGATTTGGGGGGGGGAGCCTGGGGAAATGGGGTTTGAGGAGGGGAGAGACCTCAGACTCCACCCTACAAAACAGCCAGTTCCTCTAGGGGAACTAGGGTTGCCAACTTCCTGGTGGAGGCTGGAGATCACCCAGAATTACAACTGATCTCCGGATGTCAGAGATCAGTTCTCTTGAAGAAAATGGCTGTTTCAGAAGGTATACTCTATGGCATTATATCCTGCTGAGGTTGCTTCCCTTGCCATCCCAAGGTTCCACCCCCAATACTCCAGGAATTTCCCAACCTGGAGCTGGCAGCTTTAAGGGGGGAACTGATATCTGTAGTTGGAAGATCTGTTCTGATTTCAGGAAATTTCCAGGCTTCAGGAAGCAGGAAAAGGGAAGAGGCTATGGGGGCTTTCAGGAAAGGGAAAGAGGAAATAATTCAACTTCAACTGAAGTCGAATCCATCGAAGACGGAGGTCCTCCATTTGGGCTGTGGGGGGCTGGGTTTGGGCATTGGGCTCCCAGCCTTTGGCAGGGCCTAGTTGGTGCCGGCACCAAAGGTAAAGAGCCTGGGAGTGTTCCTGGATGCCTCATTGTCTATGGAGGCCCAGGTCACAGCCAGATCAGCCTTTTTCCATCTGAGGTAGGTCAGGCAGTTGGCCTCATATCTCACCCCTCATGATCTGGCTGTGGTGATCCATGCAATGGTTACTTCCATGATAGATTATTGTAATCCTCTCTACGTGGGGCTACTCTTGACTCTGCTCCAGAAATTGCAGCTGGTTCAGAGCGCAGTGGTATGGGTATTGATGTCACTGCCTGTGCAGGCCCACATCTACCCAGTGCTGTGCAAACTGCACTGGCTGTCTATTAAATACCAGATCCATTTCAAGGTTCTGGTTCTTACCATTAAAGCCCTATACAGCCAGGGGCCTGCATATCTTCGAAACTGCCTCTCCCCATATGAGCCCCGGATGACATTGCGCTCTTCGAATCAACATCTGCTGATGGTCCCTGGCCCTAAGGATATCCGACTTGCCTCAACTAGGGCCAGGGCTTTTTCAGCCCTGGCCCCTGCCTGTTGGAATGAGCTCTCATCAAAAATTAGGGCCCTGCGAGAGCTTTTACAGTTCCATAGGACCTGCTAGATGGAGCTCTTCCTCCAAACCTTCAGTTGAGGCAGCGGGTATCCGGTTCAATCTGGCCTCCCCCCTCCTCCTCCCATGAGTCACTCTTATATGTCTGTTGAAGTACAATTTATTTTTAAGTATTAGTGTTGTACTTATTTTATTGTATTTATTATATATATTTTGTTATTCTGTTTTTATTATTTAAATCTGCACTAAGCAGATTATTATAGGTTGGAACCTGCCCTGAGTCTGCTTTGTGGGGAGGGCAGAATATAAATTGAAGGAAATAAATAAATAGTTGGGTGAGGAGGAAGTGAGATGTCTCCTGCAAATCCTTGTGAGTTCCCACTTGTAACATCTATAAACTAATAATAAAACACGGGCTGGTTTCTCACAAGCTGCTGCAGCGCGCTCACTCTTCCCTTTGCCCCGATCATACATGTCAATGTCACGCTAAGTGCTGCGTGCCTGCATCTTGACCCACAGCTTTGCCTCATTTTTCCCGCCTCTACTCAATCGGCTGATTTCGCACTAGAGCTGCCTCGATGTTGCGCCGCCATTTGTCCCGATACTATTGGTCAATTTCACACCCGAAGCTGCGGGGCTGCATTTGACCCGCAGCTTCACCCGATTTCCTCCACAGTTTCGTGATCCTAAAAAACAGGATCACGAAACTGCGGGGGAAATCGGGCGAAGACGCAAGTCAAAATGCAGCCCCACAGCTTCGGGTGTGAAATTGACCAATAGTATCGGGGCAAACGGCGGTGCAACATCAAGGCAGCTCTAGTGCGAAATCAGCCAATCCTGTTTTTTGAGGATTGAGTAGAGGCGGGGGGAATCGGGCGAAGCTGCGGGTCAAAATGCAGCCACGGAGCACTTATTTATTTATTTATTTAATTCCATTTATACCCCGCCCTCCCCGCACATGGGCTTGACACGTACGATCGGGGCAAAGGGAAGAGCCAGCACGCTGCAGCAGCTTGTGGGAAATCGGTCTTAATTATTAGAAAGAAAGAACACAGCAGTGGCCCCAGCAAAAATAAACTTAACCAAACTGTCCCCACTGAAACGATATAGTTTTCATTTGTTCCCTGAGAGGCCATTGGACTGGTATCAGGAGGTATTCCACAACTTTCATGCAATCCCTGAAAAAGTCTTGTATTGGGTTGCTTGCTACCCACCAGACTTGGGGGGGGGGGTACAAGGAGCAGGGTCTCACATGGCGACCAGAGTATTTGGGGAGATTCATATGACAGGAAGCATTCCTTAGATACTATGATCAAAGATTACTACAGTTTTAAAGATCAAAACCAGCATCATGAATCAGGCCCAGAAACCAACTGGGAGTCAATATAGTTGCTTCAGAACGGAAGCAAAATGCTCCAAACGGTTTGCTCTGATTAGTAACCTGAGCAGCTATAGTGCCCAAACATTAGAGGTAGCTTGTTTAGAGTGCATTGCAGTAGTCTCATGTGGAGATCACTAGGGTGTACATAACTATGGCAAGATTATATTATGACCCTTTACACAATAGAATCTTTTGAGTGATAAAATGAAAATAAGGCCAGAAGTAAAATTCATATCCTCTCTAGCCTTCACTAAGTTATAGAAATGGGCCATGTTGAAATGACTCAAAATATTGACATATATGTAGGGATGGGCAAAAACCGGTTCACGAGCCAAAATCAAAAAGGTGCTTTCCCCGAACATTTACTGGACTTTTGTCTGGTTCAGCTTTTCGGGCCATTTAAACCTAACAGCTGAACATCACGGGTCTGCCCATTAGCTATTAGGTTTAAATGGCTGCAAGCCATTTCACTGGTCATTTTTGCTACCCTCCTGCTTCCAAGTGAGTGGAAACCTAACAGCAGATGGGTAAACCTGCACCCACCCCCACTTGGAACCACCCCAAACTGAACCAGAATTTTTCGGTTTGTTCTCATCCCTACATATATGTAAAGCACTCCTCTTTCTGGTTTTGAACACTGTTAAGTTTGTTAGTTGTAGATTTTCCGGGCTGCATTGTAGTACCTGACGTTTCACCAGCAGCTGTGACTGGCATCCTCAGAGGTATAACACAGAAAGATGGAGTACTCTCTGTATCAATGTGATCTACTCAGGAAGGTGGGGTAGGGCTGAGTCATTATCTTGTAGGAGTTTCCCAGACTGAGACATGCTAATGCTGCTAATTTTCACTGTAAGACTGTCTTTCATTTGAAGACTTGTGCTCCAGGGGCCCCAGGAGTTGCATGGTATGTTGCATATATTTTGTGCAGTACCATTATGTTACACTGCCACTCACCTACTGATCCTTTAGCTCCTGGTTCACCTGAAGGTCCAGCTGGTCCTCTGGAACCAGGTTCACCTGCAAATCAACAAAGAGGAGTAGCTTTCAACAATGTGTTCAGTACTGCTTGTGTCAAATATAAGAACAAAAGGGGGAAATTATGTGCTCACCTCTGCATCTGATTGACCAACTATGTGTTACTTCAGACAACTAAAGTCTAGGCTGTGCACAGGACTATGAGTATTTAAAATATGTGTAGCAGACCCAGCAGCACCTGCTAAACTAAGTTTTCCCTTCCCTCTATTGTTGTCTTCCACAATCAAGTGAATTTTTTTGGTTCTTCTTGGCGTTCCCTCTCTAACTATTATTGGTCTTCCTCCCTGGTTGTTTTATGTGTATTTGTGTTTGTAAGTTTTATTCAATTGTTTAATTATACACACACACACACACACACACACACACACACATAATGAAATGCTGTTATAATGTTGAAATGTTTGGATGTTTCCTGCCTTGGGGACCCAATCTGGGTGGAAAGGTAGCACAGAAATGTTTTGAATAAATAAATAAGATAAAATATACAAACCTGTAAGACCGCGAGGTCCTTTCTCCCCTTGATCACCTAAAAACGAATGCACAAAGACACAAAACTTTTTTTCATTTTAATGGGGCCAGCATACCTAAAGGATCACCTACTCCCATATGAACCCAGCATGACAATTCTGGCCATCTTTGGTGGCCCCACTTTGAGTGCCCTGCTATTTAATGCTAAAGAGGTGGCAACCCAAGAAAACACCTCAGTTGTGGCACCAAAACTTTGGAATGCCCTCCCCAGGGAGATTTATCTGTCTGCTGCTATTATTGTCTTCTGCCAGCAGGTGAAGACTTTTTGTTTCATTTGGCATTCCCTCACTAACTCTTACTAGCCCTCCTCCCTGTTTGTGTTTTTATGTTTTTATATTTGTATTTAATTGTATTAAATATTTTATACATATTGGGGCTTTAAATGTTTTTAACATCTCAAATGTTATAACATTTTAATGTTTTGTAAGTTTTAATTTTTCTTGCCTTGAAGTTCTGAAATGGGTGAAAAGACAACATAGAAACATTTTAAATAAAGAAGATGAATAAAAACTTTCTTGCTCATGCAAAAAAGAGCCCCAAGAAAAAAGTA